AATAGCACTGATCTGATACCCAGTAAGAAAAAACAACAAATCCAATCTGATTCTATCACCAATTTAGTGAAAATGCTTCTATTTTGCATTGTTTTCAAATATAAATTTTTACATTACAAATTATATTATCAGCACAAAAAATTCTGTGGTCAACTTCGGACCCCACTGTATGTACTCTAAGTGATATTTCTGGTGTTTCTGTGAAAGAGTTTTATTAAATTTTAAAAAGCTGCAGTTTAGTACGTCACATTGTTGGCTGAGAACTTGTTCTTGAGCAGTTTGAGCATGTACTTTCAGATGATCATTTTTAGTCCTTCAGTTAAATACAGCTTATTAAGAGTCTCGTAGTTTTTAAAGAAAAAACATCAGTATCAGCAAATCCTCAGGTTTTTACTGGTGTTGTGCCATCTCTAGGGAAGGCATGGATCATTTGAAAAGAGCTGAAGTGTCATAACGACATTGGCAGACTGCAGGTGAAAACACTGATCAAAGATGTTTTTGTTCACTGCCCTAATCAATCTGATCAGTTTGCTTATGATGGAAATACTGAGCTAATGGTTATAGTTTGAAATTAGACAACTACCATACTACTGGTGATTTCATGAAACGGTTCTGATTTATTAAATGATTCTGAAATTGATTAACTATCTAAAAAAAAGCCTTCATCATTTTTTAAAACTAACTTTGAGTTATGTAGTAAAACAATATCTAAAATAAAATGATCTAGAATAAATAAAATACAATAAAACACTACAAAAACACCAAACATAATTACAGTAAACATAACAAGAATGTGTTGTTTGCAGTAACATTATGAATACGAAGGTTAGAAGCCATCACATGGATCTGTTGCATTCCATCAGCAGCACACCTGATTTAATTTAATGAAGGATTGATTAAATAAAAGGTATTAAACATTATATTGAGTATTGGAAGGTAACTGTAAATACTGGACTTTATCTATGAGAGATCTGGAAATGTTTAACAATCTTACACAGAACACTCGCACTACATTGTTAATTTGTATTTATTCAAATTGTAGTATTTTTTTGTTTAAATAAATAAAAATGCACTGCCCAGATGGCTTTCCACATCATTTTCTCACATGGCTAAGGCTGTTGTGCAGTACTGTATGTTTTTAGAAAGAACTACACAAGAATAAGATGGGGTTCATACTATGTTTTACTTTCAACATGCTGTTTTTTTCTTGGGAGTTCCCACTGTTGCATTTTTAAAGGCTGCATTTTGCAGAAAATGCACCCAGTGTGAAGCCCTTGTAAAGCTGGCTCTACTCTACTCAATTTTTAGCCTGATCCTAACCCTGATTTGCCCTTTCTGACAAGATTCCACAATCTGAAGTGATTTTCCAAGTGGGGAGCTCAGTTGGAAGGATGGCAAAAATGATCTGGTAGTCAGCACCGACTGATTGGAGGTGCTGCAATATTTTCCAACGTGTTCGATTTTTACGACTTAGAATGCTTGAGCTTGTCAGTGATTAAAGTAAACAGTGAAAGGGAACAGCAAATGTAAGAGCTTTTTGCATGTATGTACGCCACACATTCAGCAGACTGTGGCAACAGAGTTGCTTTTAAAATATATTAGTATTTTAAAGTGAATGCCCAGTGCAATATATACTATTCCTAGTATATCTGCTTCTAAAACTAGGCAATACCCAACCATAGCTGCATGTGGACGTTTTAGGTTTTCTAACTTTGCTGCATGCAAACAAATGCTTCTGAGAGCTACATGTGTTCCTGTCAGAAAATCACACCAGCAGTACTAATAATGAGGTTCTGAGAGCGTAAGAGGGAGTTCGTTTGTGAATTTTGTTTAGTGTTTGTGTATGAGTGTGTGGGATGCGTCTGACTTGAATGCAGGAAGTGTGAAGGAAGCCCTTGTGTGTGTTTCCATGTATTGTAGCGTCAGCTCGTTAGAAAGGAGAGAACCCTCAGCCAGGCTTCGTTAGATGATGTAATTAGGGGCGTCTAACGAGGGCAGAGATTAATTAGCCCACCGAGATGGGCTGGGAGGAGTGAAAATTTATGAGACGTTTCAGCGGGACCCCAGAAGAACGGCACAATGCAAACTTTTCTCTCCTCATCCCTCTCTCCTCTCTTGTTTTCATCCCATCCCTCTTACCCCAGGCGCAACAGAACGTGACACACATCTCAATGATAGGCACTGCTGAAAGTGGGTGTTTCTCACCCCTCCCTCCCTTTGTCCCTCTCTCTGTGGTTCAGTGCCTGTGTGTGACTCAGAGTTGTTTGTATATGTGTAGCTTTGTAAGGTCCTGTGTGCCCTTGGATCTTCTCTTCCACACAAACACAATAGACTATCTGTGAACCTCACATCAGGAGCTTTTCTCTGCAGCCAAGACTGTCTAAAAAGGAAATTAAACAAATAAATGCAGAGATAAAAAAGACAAAATCACTCAGCCAGAACTGTTATATTCCCCTGCTGTCTGCTGATATGTGCATGTGTGTGTGGTCTTCTGTGAGGAAGAAACAAAACAGCTGCTTTGGTTTCTTATAATACCTGTGCCAAAACATTGTGGCGGCAGCAGTTAACCCTTAAACACTTAAATTAGAACAATTATTCTCTAATTTGAGTTTGGCTAATCAGTGCTTCAGGTTAAATCAAGTTTGCTGGTGATGGAATTGAATAAACTCATGCGATCGCTAGGAGCATCCAGGAGAACCAAACTTTGTCCTTCAGACGATCTCACAAGATATCAAATAAGAAATCCGTTACTTTTTTCATATTAATGTTGCAGAGATATTTGCAGCCAAAATAGTTGACTTTAAATAATGTACTTAGGTGCTTAACATGTTTGCACAGTGCTGTATATCATAAATGATATGGTTCCAGCTCCTGGATTCTTGTTACAGTGAAGACTCTCAAGGGGAACTCAAGCTTCCCAAACTGCTGTTGTTTTTTCAGTTTTCTGCTTGTTGACTTATCCACAGGTTTCCCATGAGCACTTAGTCACTTAAATGCTGTGTTTGAGGTCTACAATCGTAGGTTCTATCATAGCAACATACCGCATGTGACGTGCTGAAATGTGCACATTTTGATCGTTACAGTGAGCTATGAGTGAGAAATTATTCATTTAAAATCGCAACATGCTTTTTTTTTATCACTAGCAACAACTGCAAGAGTCAACACACATAAGGCATGTGTGTCCTGCTCTACTAGAGATTCTTCTTCTTTTCACTGGTGCCATATTGATTTAAACCTGTCCTGGTCCATCTCCATACCTTTTCTCCTTGTTCAGTAGTGGAGGAAGACATTTTTATGCACTGCTGGAGTGATTATCATCAACATGATTGAAAAAAGAAAGGAAGACAGAAAGAAAAAAGGAAATAGTTGACATGTTATGTTAAACAAGTGAAGACAAATGCCTACCCAAGTTATTTTTCTTTTCCTCTACACCACTGTGTTTACTTTAAACCTTCCAAACGTCCTTTATTGGCTAATATCATATATCAAATTTAGTAATACATTTTTTTTGGCAGCTCCAGATCTAATCTCTAATACTGAAACCGACTAGCCCTACAACATTACAACTGAGAGAGATCATTTTTTTAAAAAAAAGCTCAAGCTTTGTCATCATAGGTTATCAAATCAGTTTAGCAATTACATCATCACTGCATTTTTTCAATCAGCATGAGCTCTAAGAGAATCTGCAAGTATTTATGACGTAAAAGACAAGAGCTCTATCGCATCGTGAAACATGTCCAGGTTTATGAAAAAAGTGCTGCTTTATAAGCGTTTGCCTTGTTTTTGCTTGATTTCTACTTTTTTAATGGTATAATGTTTTGGCGTGCTTTCACTGCTATTAGAACATTACTGAAGTGTCTGACAGCTGGTTTACCACTTGGACCAAACCTGGCCAAAACACCTGATGGTGAATTGCACTTCCAAGATTGTTACAACACCCCAATAAAAACTGTTAACTTGCTGTTATTTACTTTCAAGAGAAATATAACACATACTTAACACATATTCTGTTCCAGTTAGCACCGGTAGCTTAATTACAGTTAACTCAAATCTGAATTTTAAATTTTCTTTTGGCCCATATGTTCTCTATGCCTGCCTTAAGCACAAATCTAAAGTTTTTTTATATCTATCAAAACCAAATGGCTAAAAAGTGAATAATCTTCTAATTTAGCATATTAAATTTAGTCTTATGGTAACATAGGTCTACTGACCTGATACAAATTTCATTATGAAGTGTTAATACTACATATAATCAGGAAAAAAAAATCAAGTACCTCCTTTTAGATCATCATCTTACACATAACTATACAAAACTGCATGACTTTAGACCAGTTAGAACAAGTAGTGTGGCATTTTTCCTCATTATACTAAATGTGTTGTTGGACATGGACAGGTTAATGACGCTTAATATATATTTAGAACAAATCTCACCACTGAATTAATGAGGTTTTCACTAAACCTGGCTGTTCTGTGGAACACGTTCAGTCAGCAGTGCTATCAGCTGTCTAGACAGAGGCAGTGAGAATTACAGATATGGGTTTATTCTAATAAGCGCTGAGTTTCTATGATAAGCTCTATCTTAGCTGTTCATAGTTGTTTAAAGCTCACAGTGTCTGAGCTGTAGACTGACTGCAAGTTCATTTTGTTTTTCAAAAAAAAAAAAAAGACCCCAGTTTATATAAGCTTGTCTGTATGCTGAGGTCATGGAGGGGCCAGGGGTGGCCTGTGTTACTGGACAGAGACGACTGGTCAAAACATACTGAGTGCCATCTACTCTTCCCAATCACAGCATAGAAAGCAGAGTTACAGTCAGGGGTGGACACAATACTGACGAAACACAGCTGTATTTAGCAAATTTCAGGTTCTTGTGGATTTGTGTGTGTGTGTCTGGGTGTCTGTGTGTGTGTGTGTGTCTGGGTGTCTGTGTGTCTGGGTGTCTGTGTGTGTGTGTGTGTGTGTGTGCACCACTAATACACACTGACTCAATAAGATAAACTCACCACCAGGCTCACACTCCTCTAGATCCTCATCATCACTAGGACATTCTGCTGATGCTACTAGCAGATCGTCCGTATTCTGAAAAAGAGAGAGAGACAGAGACAGAGAGATAGAATTAGTCATTCAGGTTTTTTTCAGAAGTTTATCTTTTTGTCTTATTGGTTGCTCTTCTAAGCTGACAGTTCCACAAAAAGCATGTATTACTCATAGTATGACAGTATTAAAATATACTGTAAAGGACATTACAAGGACTTTACATTTTAACACCCTACATTGTGTTGGAAATTAAAAAAATAAAACCAGTTTTGTGTATTTTAAAATCTGAAATTTACACAAAACAGACCACTCCATCTATATTTTATTTCGTATAATGCAACATACGCTGATGTTGTGTGTTGAAAGTAAACATTATTATTATTATTATTAGTTATTATTATTATTATTGCTTTTGTTTTATTGTGTTTGTAAAACTCTCACAACACATGTCTTTGACGTTGAAGATAAAAGATAAAAGCTGATAACAGTTCACCTCAAGCTGCTATGATAAAAAGGACTGTGAAGGTTTCCTAAACATCTTACTTTTTGTGTTTCAAAATTAGAGAAGAGTTTACTGGACATCTGCTCATTAACATCTTATTGTGTAATGAGATTCAGATATTTTAATGTTCTGATCAGCGGTATCAATGTTAACCAGAGCACAGGAGCAGAGGGCCTCTAGACTAAATTCCAGAAACTTTATAGAAAGGTTACCAGCAGTTTCTGTCCAGGTGATTGTTCTATCAAGTTTGATTGTCTTTCATTAATGTGCTCAAAATTGTGAAATTAGACCTGATGCTTCAGGGTGAAAAGGTGCAAAATGACATGCCAGTAGAGCGACACTTGCATATAATCATATAGTCAGCTTAAAATAAACACACTTCTTTGATTATCAAAATTGAAATATAATGCTCTTGAATAAATGCAGTTTCCAAGTACAAGCCCATTTCCAAAAAAGTTGAGACACTGTGTAGAATGTAAATAAAAACAGAATGCAATGATATGCAAATCATGTTTAACACTTAGAAATTTTATTGTAATTTATGCCCATTTTGAATTTGATACCAACAAGAAGTTCCAAAAAAGTTGGGACGGGGGCATGTTTACCACTGTGTTTCATCACCTCTTCTTTTAACAACACCCTGTAAGCGTTTGGGAACTGACACCAATTGCTGTAGTTTTGAAAGTGAAATGTTTTCCCATTCTTGTTTGATACAGGATTTTAGCTGCTCATCAGTTCAGGAGCTCATTTATCATATTTTTCATTTCATAACCCTCCAAATGTTTTCAGTGGTGACAGGTCTGGACTGCAGGCAGGCCAGTTTAGCGCCCCGACTCTTTTAATACAGAGCAGTGCTGTTGTAATACATGCAGAATGTGGTTTTACATTGTCTTACTGAAATAATCAAGGCCTTCCCTGAAAAACACACTGTCTGGATGGCAGTAAATGTTGCCAAAACATGTATCTATCGTTCAGCATTAATGGTGCCTTCACAGATGTGCACATCACCCATGCCATGTGCACTAATGGACCCCTATACCATCATGAATACTGGCTTTTGAACTGTGCACTGATAACAAGCTGACTGGTCTTTAGCCCAGAGGACACAGTGTCCATAATTTCTAAAAATAATTTCAAATTTCGATTTGTCGGACCACAGGACACTTTTCCACTTCCCCTCAGTCCTTTTTAAATGAGCTCAGGCCCAGAGAAGGTGTCAGCATTTCTGGAACCTGTTTTTGTACAGTCTTTGCATTTTAGAGTTTTAACTTGCATTTGTAGATGCAGCAACAAACTGTGTTCACAGGCAGTGTTTTTCAAAAGTGTTCCTGAGCCCATGCAGTGATTTCCACCACAGAATCATGTCTGTTTTTAATGCAGTGCCGCCTGAGGGCACAAAGATCGTGGCAAGCAAATACTGGTTTTTGGCCTCGTCCCTTATACAGAGATTTCTCCAGATTCTCTGAATCTTTTAATGATATTATGTACCATAGATCAGGGGTCTTTAATTAAAATTCAGAAAGGTCCAGTTAGAGAAAAGTTCCTCAAGCAAAGGTCCGGAACATCATAATATAATGAGAACATCATAATATAATGAGAATAATGTCTAACTTGCATCATGATTCAGTGCCATATACTGTAAACTGAAGTAGCCTAGTAGTTATATCAACAACTTATGTAGTCAACAACTGAATGTCAAATCAAATAAAGTACAATTCAGTTTGTATTTCAACAACATTTGTCAGTTTTCTCTTCTTACAGCTCGCCATGTGAAATAACTTCCCTCTCACTCACTCTATTCTCGAATTCTCTGCTGTTTCTCACCTCACCTCCCATAGATATACATACCTAGATGCTGAGTTGCCTGTTGTTCTCTATCTGAGGCGATACGTCTGGCATCCGCCATGTTGGAGCGGTCAAGATCCGCTTGTGAACATCAAATTTGTTTTGTTATAATCCTCAGACACAGATTAATCTAGGCTGCATGGACTGCTCTTGGTAGCTTTTATTACTTTAATAACTGATCGTGGTAATTTGCTATCCGGACCAGCAGGAAAGTATTCAGTCGGCATGTGACGTTAAAAAAGGAGTTTAGCGCGACTAAAAACACAAACTCACACACACATCAGGAAATCCATTAATGTGTGAATCACTTCTAATCTTAATGCACATAAAAAATAAAATAAACCCCCAAAACACAGTAAGAAGGACGAGGCGGAACTCAGCTTCATATTCACCAGCTTCTTGTAAGAGTTTTCCGATTCCACCCTAAATGGTGGAACGTGAAAATTCGAATAAGAAGCTGGCAAATAAGAAGCCAACTTCAGGTTTGTGTAAGAAGGTGCTAACTGACTGGACCCAACGCGACATCTAGGTATGTATATCTATGGTCCCTCCTCTGTGTGTGCGTCACTCACTCGAGTCTCTGCTCATCGTAATGCACAGAGCTGATTGGCTGAGTAGTGTCACGTGTGAAATTTACAACGCACACGATTGGTCTGTGAGTTTTCCGGGGCTCTAAAGTGGTACCGTAAAAGCTACACCAATTAAAAAAGCATCACCCCATCGAAATTAAATAATTCTCCATAGTTTCTCGGTTACAGGTCCAAGTCCGCATAGGACAGCATCTGAGTCTGGACTTGGACCGCAGTACACCTATTAGTGACTGCCGCCATAGATGATGAAAAGCAAAATTTCTTTGCTATTTTGCGTTGAGAAACGTTATTCTTGAATTGTTGCACAATTTTTGACTCTCTGAGATGCTTTTTTTATACTCAATCATGTTACTGACCTGTGCTCAATCAACCACCAGGTGTTTTTTTAGCATTACACAACTTTACCAACCATTTGTTGCTCCCTTTTTTGGAACGTGGCGTTGCCATCACATTGAAAATGGGCAAGTATTTTTCAATAAACAATAAAATTTCTCAGTTTAACATTTGATATGTTGTCTTAGTACTATTTTCAATGAAAAATAGGGTTTATCATTGAATTTTGTGTCCCAACTTTTTTGGAATTGGGGTTGTACAAACAGTGATTTCTAACAGTTACAGCTAAACTCTGCTCATAACAGTTAACTACAATCAACAAGATTGATTATAATGCATGACTGTATTTGATGTTCTCAAGTATTCAATTAGTATTTTGTTTATAGTTTTGCTTTGACTAAAATGTACAGTACTGTTCTAAAACTGTAGAACGTTGCTGTAGTAAATGGAATGAATTTAAGTTTAAACTTGAAATAGGTTTATATTTAAACTTAGTTTGGTGGGTTCTCTAGCAAAAGTAAAGATGTCTAATACTATCCATATCTAAACCTCTGATTTTGCCAGCTTGCAAGCAAAGAAGAAAGGCATTCTGGGTAGGCATAGGTGCCAGTCATTCCCCAAACAAAAACACAGTAATGCCCCAGTGTATAGGCTGCCTACGGGATGTAAAGACTAAAAGAATACATTTTTAAAAAGAGACACAGATGTATTATCTTGCCAGCGGAGCCAATTCTAAAGTCTTCTGGAGACCGTGTCACATGGAAATGTAATGAAAGGCCTGCGGCTCTCTGTGGGCCTCTACGCTATGTTGCTTAGTCAGGAGTTTTTACAATAGGAGGCACATGTTCTTTGGTCCTGGTCCAGGTATAAATGCAAGGGTTAAACCAGGCAGGATGTCAGTTCACCAGTTGGTTTCAGCTCTGAACCAAACCAGCCAAACAGCCACCATGAGCATGGGCAGGGTAAGCAGCAGAGATGGAGAAAGCTTTGCAATTCTTCTGTTTTTATTGATCCAGCTTACTCAGTATCATGTAATTTGTCATTTTTGGCCAACAGGTCATCTTCTACGAGGACAGGAACTTCATGGGTCGCTCTTATGAGTGCACCAGTGATTGTTCCGACATTTACTCCTACATGAGCCGCTGCCACTCCTGCAGAGTCGAGAGCGGCTGCTGGATGGTCTATGACCGCCCCAACTACATGGGTAACCAGTATTTCATGAGGAGGGGCGAGTACGCTGACTACATGAGCATGTGGGGATTTAACAACTGCATCAGGTCCTGCCGCATGATCCCCATGGTAGGCTATTAACATCTGCTGCACCGTTATACAAACTTCAGTTTACTATACAGATATGGGTTTAAATTAGTTTGTACCCCAAACGTGACCCTGTTTGTTTTCTTCTCAAACAGCACAGAGGATCCTACAGGATGAGGGTCTACGAGAAGGAGAACTTCATGGGCCAGATGCATGAGGTGATGGAGGACTGCGATTCCTTCATGGACCGCTACCACTGGTCCAGCGGCTGCATGTCCTGCCATGTGATGGACGGCCACTGGCTGATGTACGAGCAACCCCACTACAGAGGCAGGATGTGGTACTTCAGGCCTGGAGAGTACAGGAGCTTCAGGGACTTCGGCGGCATGAGGTTCATGAGCATGAGGCGCATCATGGACTCCTGGTATTAAATCAGTGCAACTCATGTAAAAATCAATTTTTAAATAAAAAAACAAATATAAAATCAATGTCCCAAGGTTTTCCCCTCTTTTTGT